CGCCCGCCGCTATTTTTAGCAATCCCGGAGGCGACGAGACGCCACGCTCCTCCCAACTGGCGGTTCCTGCGGCCCCGGGGATGCGGCTGGGGCGCGGGGTAGCCTGGAGCGCGCCGCCTCCCCGCTCCCCACCAGGCGCGGCCGAGGTAGCCGGGGAGAGGCCGGCCGGCCGACTCAGCCTCTGCCCGCCAGCGGGGACGGAATGCCGGCCGTCTTGCGCCTGGCTGGCTCCGGGCTGGGCACGGGGCACACGGCCGGCTGGCGCGCGGGGCACTGCCGCAAGGGAGCCTCGGGGGGCAGCCGAGGACTCTGCCGGCTCGGCGTTTCCTCTCCCTCGGGGCGCTCGTCCTCTCGCCGCCCGGCCCCCCGCGTAAGCTGCTGGGGCTGCCAGGAAGGTTGGGCGGGATCCGGAGGGCTGCGGGCTCCTTCCTCCCAGCCTTCGGGGTCAGAGCGCGATCTGTAGATGGGCTGGGCGCCCCCTCCTCTTACCCGCCCTTTTCCGGCTGGAGCACAGCTGCTGGGCTGGGGGCGCCACCTCCGAAGCCCTCGGAAGCCTTCCAAGCCAGCTCGCCCTCCTTCCCCTCCAGGATGAAGTCCTGGGGGGCTGAGGGAAGAGGGGGCGATTTCGACAGGAAATGCTGGGCTCTGGGGAAGGGTGGGTGGGTCGCCCATCCTCCGCTGGGCTCCGGCCTTAGGAAGCCCCCTGCAGAGAGACTTTCTCCCCTAAAAGAGCAGGGGGTGCCTGGCCTTCCCCACTCCCCTTTTGCATCCTTCAGACCTTGAGCTTAGGGGGGGGGAGTAACCTTGGGTGGGGTGGGTTGCTTTATGTGTTTAGAGCCCCCCCCCCCCCGCCTTTCACAATGGCCATCTTCCCAGAGAGCTTCTGCCGGATTGTCTATTAGCTTGTTACATTGGCAGTCTGGGAGTCGGGTGGAAGAGCGTGCTGGTGACCAGGCCGACAGGAGAGAGCAAAATAGCAGAGGGTTGTTTGCCTGAAGGCTTGGTCTTGGTGTCCCTAAGGGCAGTGGGCTTCGCAGGGGGGGGGGCACTTGCCTTCTGGGGCAGGGAAAAGCTTGCCAGGACTGGGCTCATGGACTCCTCCTGCAGTTGGGGTGGCCACTGAGCCCTTGGAGGCAGCAGATTCCCCCCTTCATCCAAGTATGCCAGCCCCCCCCCCCCCGTAGTCCAGCCCAGTTTGTTGGGAGTCAGGTCTGATCTTGTGCAGGGAGGGGCTGGGTGGAAGCCTTCGGGAGAGGGAGGGAGGCGGTTAGACCATACAAGCTTTCTTTAGCACACCAGGGCTCTGTTTTTAGTAACCTCCCATTTCATTTGTTTGCTCCAGAGTTGGCCAGGGAATTGGTGCCAACGGAGCATTTGGTGGGAGGGGGAGCCAGGAGCACAGAATGGCCGCTTTCCTTCTGCTTTGCCTGGGAGGTTCAGGGCTCAGAATCAGAGCCACGGAAGGTTCTGCCTGGCCGTCCCAGAGCGACAGCGGCTAAGGGGACGGAGGGCCTTCCAGGCAAGTCCCCCCTCCCCCTTAGCTAAGGCAAAGCCTCCAGATCTCCCATGTTAGGGGAGGGCAGAGGCCTGTCTGCTGTGGCTGTGCTTCCTGCCTCCAGACCCCCCCCTCCCAATTGTAGGAGCCAAAGGTAGTGGGAGGTTATTCCCCCAGGTCCCCAATTCAGTGCTGCTCAGGCTCCGCCCTGCAGCAGGCATGGCTGCTTAGTGGCTCAGGCAGGCTGGGAATCTGGGGAGAGGAGGAGGAGGAGACCCACCCCCCACCCCACCCCCGGGTCTTTGGGTTCCTCTCTACTTTTCCAATACTAAGCCTGGCTGTGGCCGGAGCTCCCACTGGCCTCCCACTCTCCACCACACGAGAGGGCTGCCAGCTGGATGCCCACCAGAGATCCCCTCTGGCATGGAGCAGCCCCTTGGCCCTTTCCCGGCTGGGCCCGGCTGTGGCACCCAGGGTAGGACTGGCTGGAACAGGCATTGCGAGGAGGTGAGCTTGTACCAACCCTGCAGTGTAGACCATGCTGGGAGATCAGCCCCATATTGCTTTTATTGAGGGGGGTGGGTGGCAATTGAGGGATCCAGGCAGTCCGATTGTGCTCGGCCACCTCCTTAGTTGCAGCAAATTGGGGAGGGGTCTGCCTGAACCAAGGAAAATCTGGACCTTCTGGACTTATTTTGCCCAGGCAACGCCTCCTGCATCTCTCTGCCGAGGGCACTGCCTCACACTCTGCACCCAGCCTGTCCCCGGGGGGGCTGGGGGGGGGGCTTCAACAGTGGTACCCACCGGAGGGGGAGGGGTGGGGAGAGAAAAATGTTTTTGATGTTCAGCATCACAGACTGAGGAGCAGCTGGGGGGGGGATGGGCTGTTGAGGGGACCCATCCATACGAGGTTTCCCAAAGACACCCTGCCTCCCCCCCCCCCCCCCCGAGGAAGGTCCCAGCTGTGGCCTGAGCCAGCTAGGAGGACTGGACTGAGCTGCAGCTGTGGGCAGGGGGTCTTTCCTGGGCTTTGGCGCCCCGGCCTCCTGCCCACCCTTGCAGCATTGCTGTGCCTCTGAGCAGGCCCCAAAGGCAGCCCCACAGAAGGCTCAGTGCAGGCGCCCTGAGGCCTGGAGGAGCAAAAGCTCCCTGGAGCCTTCCAGAGGCAGCTGCCGCTCTCAGGGCGCACAGCACAGCTGGACCTGACCTCTGGGTGGGTCTGCTTGGCTGACGGGGCTCCTTCTCCCCCCAGGGCACGTGATCTGCCTGGGCCAGGCCACCTTCCTGCGCTTCAGCCACCCAGCCGAGGCCGAGTGGATGAAAAGCCAAGCGGTGCCGGCCGAGCGGCCCAGCCCAGAGGGCCCCTGTGGGCTGGGAGCAGGTGGGTCCTTTGCCTGATGGGGCCTGGTGGGGGGGGCTCTGAGGGGCCGCTTGGCTCCCCTGCGTGTCTGGCGGAGCAGCGGCAGGTTCCTCCCCAGCCCCAGGTGAGGGCAGGTGTTACGGGGACCTGGGCTGGCCCTTTGGGGGGGCCTTTCAGAGGGGAGGGTGCTGGGTGCGCTTGGCCTCTGGGTGGGGGTCTCAGGTGCTCTGGCCGTGAGGGGAACGGGGAGGCAGCTGAGACTTTGCCCTTCTGAGACCCCCATCTCTTTGCAGCCGGGTGGCAGAGCCCCGTCAACGGCGACTCCAAGGGGGCTCCGCTCTCCCTGGTCAGCTCCATCGAGAGAGACCTGCAAGGCATTATGGATTCCTTGGTGCTGCAGGAGGAAAGCGGCGATAGGAGCCCTCCGTCCCCAACAGCCAAGGGGGGCTGCTCCCTTCTGTCCCCACCCCAGAGCCCCGGCAACGCCTCCATGGGGTCCACCTATGAAAATGCCTCCTCTCCCCCCTTCTCTCCACTCTCCTCCCCTGCCAGCAGCAGCAGCCGGAGCCCCCTGGCCGGCTGGCAGGAGAAGGTCCCCACCCTCCCCCCTGCAGTGCCTGTCCGATCCTCCAGTTACTGCCACGCTGCGTTGTTGCCCCCCGGGGGGGCTTCCCTGGATCCTTCCAGCAGTTCCAGTGGCTTCCTAAGCTCTGCTTGCAGCTCAGGGAGCCCCCGGGCTGAGCAGAAGGCCAGGCGGGATGGCCCCACGAGCCCCCTGCCAAGGCGCAAGATCCGGCCTCCTGCAGAGGGTCCTTCTCCCAGCCAGCATGGTGGCTCTCCACTGGGTAGCCCTCGCCCGCCATCACCCGGGAACCCTTGCTTGGCCAGGGCTTTCCAGCTGCCCGGGATGCTGCAGGGCAAGGCTGCAGCCCCCCAGGACCCAGGGCCCGGCTCCTTCTTGAAAATGCTGCCGGTCGGGGCTCCCCGATCAGCCCAACTGGGGAAGGCAGCCTGCCAAGGGTCGGAGCTGCCAGGTGGCGTCTCTCAGTCCATCCGCACCCAGCGGGTCCCCGAGAGTCCCCAGATCAGCCGGAGACCGACAGAGAGCCTGCGGGAGCGGCCCCCCGTCAGCCCGGCCCTGGGGCGCCGAGCAGTGTCCCCGGCCCCTGGAAGCAGCCTCTCCTCCTCACAGGGCAAGCTTGGGGAGGGTCCCAGGGGGTTGCAGAGAGAAGCGCCTTCCGCTCCGCCCTCCTCCTGCTTGAGGAGCCGCAGCCCCTTGCCTCCCTCCCTCCCTGGAGAGCGCACCCAGCGCAAGCCCCGTGGTGGACCTGGCCTCAGCTCTGCCTCCAGCTTAGGGTGCCTCGTCCTGCCCTCGGACTCTCCCCAGCCAAGCCACCAGGGGGCTGGTGGGTCCCAGCTGTTGGGCCCCACGCGGGAGCGCAAGCAGAGCACCTCCAAGCTGCTGGGCGTGCATGAGAGCGGCCTGCTGGAGTACCATCGATGGCAGCGGCAGGAGCGTCTCCGGGAGCAAGAGATGGAGCGCTTGGTGAGCAGGGATCAAGCCGGGGAGCTTCATCTTCACGGTAGAGAGGTGGGGGGGGGGGCGGTGTGAAGGATGCGTGGCCCAAGCCCTTGCTGTAGGAATGGTGGGCGAATCCTGTCCAAGCAGATTTGCCTGGGAATTCATAGGCTGGGAACCATATCAGAGGGCCCAGGCAGGGTGGGCTGCTTTGGGAGGAGGGAGCATCGTTGGTGGCCTCCCCTCATGCTGTGCTGGGCATAGACAGCTGCCGTTAGCCACCCTGCTCTCTCCTGGCAGGGTGGCTGGTAAGACAGAGCAGCTTGGGTAAGCCTGGCCGGGGCCAGTCGGGTAGCAAACGCAGTTGGCACAGGGGTCTGGGTGAGGGGCGTTCATGTGCCAGGCCCTTCCTTCCACCTCACCAGGTGGCTCTTGCTTGTTCTCTGGGCAACAGGAGCGCCAGCGCCTGGAGACCATCCTCAGCCTGTGTGCCGAGTACACCAGGGGGGACACTGAGCTGGGCCAAGAGGGCAGTGCCAATGCTGCTGCTGATGGGGCGCTCCCCCTGCCAGGGAGCAGCCCCCCCCGGGAGCGAGGGGAGGAGGAGAACTTGCAGGAGGAGAGCAGCAGCACCGAGAGTGCTGGTCAGGAGGTGAGGAGGTGGGCAGTGGGTCTCTGCGCCCCCAACCGGCTGCCAGGTGGTGCCATGGCTGGGAGGCAGCCTTCCTTTCTGGAGGGGGGCTTGGGAAGCACTTGCCCGCACATATAGGGATTGCCGTTTCCTCTGCAGCATGAGGTGCCACCCGCCCCAGAGCTGGCCCTTCTGGAAGAGGAGCACGCCCGCCTCCTGGCCAGCACAGAGCGCCTCAAGAGCCGCCTGAAGGGGCTGGAGCAGCAGCTGCGAGAGACCGCTTGGGAGGTGAAGGGGGATCTGTCCTGCCGAGAGACTGGCAGTGCCACCCACCCTTGGGGGGCAGGGAGAGTCTGGTGGCTGGCGGCAGTCATGCAGCTGCCATTCTGCCCTCCCAGGCGGAGATGGAGCAGGCCCTCCTCCAGGGCGAGCGAGAAGCGGAGATCCTGCAGCTGCAGCAGGAACAGCAGGCGGTGCAACTCCTGCAGGAGCAGCTCTGCGGCCTGGATGCCAGCGCTCGCCACGAGCGGGAGAAGGTAAGTGGCGCCTCCAGCCCAGCCGGTTGCTGCTGAAGGCGATGGGGAGGGCAAAGCCCCCCTCCCTTCGCTGCTGCCCACGTGGTAGGTCCTGCCCTCCTGATCCTCTCGGGCTGGGTGGGGAGGGGTGATTTGCTAGTCCCTGGAGAAGCCCTCCCTGGCGCTGGGGGGAAACCCTTTGCACGTGTCAAGGAAGAAGCCATGGGGAGCGAATCGGCCTGACCCAGCCCCCTCTACTGCTCGCCTTTAGTCGGGGTTCCCCCAATCCCCTTTGCTGACACAGGGAGCCTGAGGGGCAGGGAGCACCCACTCCGAAGCCCAGCCACTAACACCCTGGCCAACACTAACTGTGCCAACCCCTCTTTTCTCTCTCTCTCTCTCTCTCTCTCTCTGCCTGCTTGCCGCTTTGTGGGGGGGGGATCTGTCTGGGCCAGGAGAGGCAGAGCCCAGGCTCAATCATCCACTCTGCCCTGGAGGTAGCCCCCTCCCTTCTTGGCATTTGTAAGTGCTTGGCATTTACAGGCCACCTGGGGCGGCAGCTCCGACCCGCTTGGGAAGAGGTGCCAGAACAGGAGGCGCCTCCTCCATCTTTTTGCACGTGGCCCTGCCCGAGAAATGAGTGTCCGGCCGAGTCCTTGGGGACAGGCTGCTCCTCCGGCCACACAGGATCCCGACGCAGACTCGGTCTCTGAGGAGAGACGCTGAGCTGTCTGGGGAGAGCAGGAGATGCCCCGGGCTCCTTTGTCCCGCCAAGGCTCTTATCCGGACGATGCTCCCCCTGCTGCTTCCAGGAGAAGGTCCCCCTGCTTTGCGCCTGGAGGCTGGTCCAATTCTGAGGCTCCCAGGCTGAGCAGCCCAGAGGAGCCAAAGTCCCACAGCGGCTGCACTTGCCTAGTTGGTTATTTTGGGCTCGTCCCTGGGTTTGCCAGTCCTAGAAAGAAAAGCGAGAGGCCACGGTGGTCTGTGGGGTCCCCTCCTTACAGCATCTCACCTCTCTTGAATGCCTCTGGCAGGAGAGGCCGCAGGTCTTGGCAAGGGAGATTTACCCCTTTACGTCTGACCAAAGCCGGCTTCTTGGTGAATGAAAACCGTTGTTTCTCCTCCTGTCTTCCTCCCAGAGCCATTTATTTGAAAATGGCTCCCGTGTCTCTCCCTCCCCACCCCTTTCCTCCAGGCTAAACATACCTGAGAAAGGCCTCCTCCACCTGTTCCTTGTAGGTCTTTCCTTCCAGGCCTCTTGTCATCCTGCTGACTCTCCTCTGGGACACATTCCAGTTTGTCTGTCCTAAATGTGGTGCCCAGAACTGGACACAGTCTCTCCTAGGTATGGTCTGATTAACACACCGTAAAGAGGCACCGCCGTTTTGCTTGATCCTGGCATTGTATTTCTGCTGACGCAGCTTCAGCTGGCTATTACGTTTTGGTAGCAACACCACCTGTGGCTCATGTTCAGTTTGTGATCCATCAAGACCCCCCCTCCCCCCGATCCTTTTACGCATCCCCTGCCCGGTACAGTTCCCGTCGCCGCCTGCCATCCCACGCTGATGATTTTGGTTTCTCATACTCGGATGAAAGCTTTGCATTTCTCCCTGGTGAAATTCCCCTCTTTGGATTTCATGGCTTTTTACCCAGTAATCGATCTTGTGACGATGCTCCTGGCCTCGGTCTGGTCATGGTGACTCCTTTCATCCCTGGAAACTTTGGCCTTGTTCCAGGGGCTTCCAATGCATGCTTCGCCCAGCCGTCCCCAGGATAGAACTGCAGGATAGACGTAAAGCGAGACCTTCCGTGGGCTTCAGAAGCGCCTCGGGCACGAGCCTGGGTTGGCCCTGCTTGAGAAGTGTTTCCCTTGGCCTTGACTGACCCACCTGAGCTTCCCACAGCCCAGAAGTCGCCAGGATCTGGAGCGATCTTTCCTCCAAGATCCCCCTCGGTTGTCTTCGGCTTCACTGCCCAGGGAGGCTTGCAGGGCGAGGCAGCCTTTGGATGTCTGGGGCAGAGACCAGGCTCGATAAATGGGCTTTACGCCAAAGAACGAGGAGAGGTGTAACTGCCCTGGCAGCTGCCGGGGAGGGTGGGCTGGCAGACCCCTGGTGGAGGCAAGGCAAGGTCTTTGGCCCCCCCTAACCCGAGACCCCCACTAACCCCCCTTTGCATGGCCTGCTCCCAAGAAGCCTCTTTTCTCCCCTCTTCGTGTGTTGTTTTCTCCCGGCTTCAGGAGAGGGAAAGGGTGGATGCGGAAAGGAAGGCGCTTGAGAAACTGCGGGAGTTTTACTCTGAGCTCAAGAGCCAGCTTGAAAACTGCCCCGAGTCAATGAGGGAGCAAGTGAAGGACCAGATGCAAAGGGTCAGTGCCCCCTCTACCCCTGCCCGCCTTCCGTGGGGCAGGGGGAGCTAGCCCGGGCCCCTGGCAGCAGTGCCCCTCCAGAGGCTCAGCAGGAGCACCCCTCCCTGCCTCACAGCAGCCGAGTTGCCTCAGCAGCCCTGGGGGCAACAGGGAGGGAGAGCAAGGGCCGCCTGCCCCAGAAGGGCTCTCGGGAGAGAGAGGGGGTGCCCTCCTGGCGCTTGTCCTGGGGCGGTTGGGAAGAAGGGTCCCTGGGCTGTCTAGACTCTAGAGGACACGGGCTCAGCCTTTGTCCGCGGAGAGCCTGCCAGCCGTGCTGCCTGGCAGGGAGCCCATCAGGCCAGCCTCGCTCAGACGGCCGCCTCTAAGCAGCCACGTCCTGCACAGGAAGCGGAGGCCCTGGAGACGGGGACCAAGCTCTTCGAAGACCTGGAGTTCCAGCAGCTGGAGAAGGAGAGCCGCTGGGAGGAGGAGCACGAGATGCTGCACAGCGAGGCCCAGGGCCGCCACCGCCTGGCCCGCCGGAAGGTGAGCCTGGAGCCCCGTTTGCAGGCCTTGCAGAGCCCGGCTGTGGCTCCGCTCAGCACCCCTTCGGTTTCCCTGCTGCAGGAACGCGTGGCTGCCCTGGAGGGCCAGGCCAAGCAGCTACGGCTGCAGGCTGCTCAGGAGGCCGACCGGCTGCACCAGGAGAGGAGGGCCGCCCTGCAGCGACTCCAGCAGGTGAGAGACAGGGCAAGGGGCCGTGGTCGCAGAGGCGGCCTGGCTCTCACGGCCTTGGGGAGGAGGACAGTTGCCGAACTGTGGGGGAGGCTCTGCTCCTTCCCCAGGGATGCAAAAGAGGTCTTGGGGGGGGGGAGTCTCTGACCCTCCCTGTTCTGCTTCCCCCAACAGGAGAAGGAAGCCCTCCTGGGGCTGGAGCAACAGTTCTGCGCACTCACCGGCGGCAGCGCTGCCTTTCCCAAGCGCTCGAGCGGCCTCCGAGAGGTTCGAGGGGAAGGCTGGGGAGGATGTGCCCCAGGAGCCACCCCGCTGCCTGTCCGATCCCCAGCATGGCCCGGAAGGACCGCCTTGGTCAAGCAGGGGGTGCTGGAGGTTGGACACTGGTGCCGGACGTGGCAGCATCCCCCATATTACATGCTCCCCACTTTTGGGGCTCCCCCGCCAGGCAGATGGCAGGAAGAGAGAGGCAGGCTTTGGGCTGCAGCGAGGATTGGACTCCTTGGCCCATTTTAGTTCAGCTTCCCACAAATCCTGCTTGGGCCGATTGCAGGGCCTGCTGTGACCTCAGAGGCTTCGATGCTCCCCGGCCTTTCTTTCGCCCTCTTCCCTGTAGCTCCCACAACCCTCCTTTTCCCTCTGGCCGTTCCTGGTCTGGAGCCCTGGGCAGTTGCTCCTCAATGTGTGTCCTTGGCAGCACCACCTCTCCCAAGGCTCAGCTCTGGCCTGGCTCCAGGGGTGGGTTCTAGCCGGCGCTACTGCTGCTGCGCTCGTGGGTGCGCTTTGTGCATGCCCAGCTCAATAGAAATTCTTCTGCGCATGCAGAGAACTCAAAAACAAGATGCCGGTGGCGACTTCAGCAACCGAAGTCCGGAGGCGTGGCCAGCCTGGGTCACTGCCGGTTCTGCAGCCCAGGCCGGCATGACATACCGGTTTGGCTGAACCGGGCCAAATCAGTAGAAACCCACCTGGGTCTCTTGGGCCCAGATGGACAAGAGGTGCAGCAGCCCAGTTGGGCCCAAAGCAGGGGAGCATCCCCACTGGCCCCAGCCCCTCCTGCAAGGAAATGTAAGCATCTGGGGTCAGTCCAGCCACTGGGCGAGCAGCTTCCGTCCCCCACCTTGCACCCCTCGAGCCACTCTGGACTCCCCCGGCTTTTTCCTCACAGGGCTCTCCACCCGCAGGGGGCAGAAGAGGCAGCCCCCCCTGCAAGCTGACCGGCTCCCTTCTTGACCTGGGGAGGAAGCGTGAGGCGTCCCTGCAACACAAGGGTGGGTGATGCCTCCGTCCATGCCCATCTGCAGGGCCCTGGTCCCTCGGGGTGGGCAGATGCCAGGCAAAGTCCTGCCGGCGGTCAGCCTCGCTCTCCCTGGGCCTCTTTGCAGGGCATTGGGCAGTTCAGGACCAGTGGCAGCACCTGGCTGACCTGAAGCAGAAGGCGGCAGTGGAGGGTCAGGCCCTGCGAAGGAGGGCCCCCTTCTCCCCCCTTGTGCCCTACTCTGGCCTCCACCATCACCCCTTCCTGGGCCAAGGTCAATTGGCCAACGACCCCGAGCCAGCCTACGACACCCTCAGCCTGGAGAGCTCGGACAGCTTGGAGACCAACCTGTCTCTGAGTGGGAACTCGGCCTGCTCCCCAGACAATGCCTCCAGGTCAGCCCCCCTCCCCTTGGCCCCCGGACTCCTACGAGGGCTGTCCACCTGCCAGGCTCTCTCGCCTGGCCTCTGGGTGGGGGGCTGCACTGCTGATCTGCTGCGAAGGGCAGACTTGAGAGAGAGGGGGGGCTGGGGGGTTGGCAGGCCGGGCGGGCGGGCAGTGACAACCAGTTGGCCTTGCAGTGCCAGTGGGGCAGATGCCAGGAAGATCGAAGAGATGGAGAAACTGCTGAAAGAGGCGCAGGCTGAGAGGTCCCGCCTGATGGAGTCGCGGGTGAGGGCGGGAGCAGAGGTCTCGGGATGGGGATCGCTCCGAGTTAGCCTTTGGGAAGAGCCACTCCCCTTGCAAGCCACTTGGGCGGGGAGGGGGGCTTCTCCCTAGTGAATTCTGTCCCCTTCCCCAAGTGGAGGGGCTGCCCGGATGGTGGGCAGGCGTGGGGGGCAGCTTCTGTCCACGGGCGGAGGTCCAGCTGTGGACTGGGGGGGGGCGGCAGAGGGTGGGTGATACTGGGGACGCAGTGGCCCACCCTTCCGTCCTGGCAGGAGCAAGAGATGGAGCTGCGTCACCAGGCCTTGGAGGACGAGCGGCAGAGGCGGGAGCAGCTGGAGCAGCAGCTGCAGGATGAGACGGCACAGCGGCAGCAGCTGATTGAGAGAGAGGTCAAGATGCGGGAGAAGCAGCTGGCTCAGGTGTGCAGGAGCCCCTCCATGCTCTCCCTCCAGCGGGAGGGCAGGGCTGTTGTGTCCCCCGTGGAGAGGAAGGGCCTGCTCCTCTGGGTCATGACACACCTGGCCGAGGAGGTGGCCCCCGGAAGATTCTTTCGGGGGTCTGGGAGGCCGGCGTTGAGCTTGGGATAGGCTGCAGGAGGGGGGGGGGAGGACTTTGGCCCCTGCCGCTAGCTCCACTGCCCCCGCGTTCTGCAGGCTCGCCCCCTGACCCGTTACTTGCCCATCCGCAAAGAGGACTTTGACCTGCGCTGGCACATCGAGTCCTCCGGCCACAGCGTGGACACCTGCAGCCACATCATCCTCTCGGAGAAGCTGTGCAAAGGCTACCTGGTCAAGATGGGGGGCAAAATCCGGTCCTGGAAGAAGCGCTGGTTTGTCTTTGACCGCCTGCGGCACACCCTCTCCTACTACGTGGGTGAGGCTCCCCATCCCCGCCACGGCCGGCCCCCCTGCCTCGCTGCTCAGCTCGGCCCTCGGACGGGCTTCAGCAGCGTCCCCCTCCTCCTCTGCCCCCTACAGACAAACACGAGGCGAAGCTGAAAGGCCTCATCTACTTCCAGGCCATCCAAGAGGTTTACTACGATCACCTCCAATGCGCAGCCAAGGTGAGAGGTAGCCGGGCAGGGAGGTGGCAAGGGGGAGGGGCACTCTGAGCGTAGCCCAAATATCCCCCCCTCCCCCGGCTGCACTTCACCTGCCTTTCCTTTTCCTGCAAAAGAGATTCTTCCCTCCCAGCCTGTCCATGGTAGGGAGCCATCCGCCCCCTCTGGCCAGGAACCCTGCACCATCCTGAACCCCTGAGCTGTCCTGGAGGGGAATATTTGGGCTGAAACTCCTTAGGGACTGGGGGAGGGGGGAAACTCCGGGGGGGGGGGCAGAATATGGCAGCATCTCATCAGTCAACCACCTCCTGGCTTAGGTAGCGTTCAGCCGACAGCTGCGTGGGCTTCTTTGGGGCACATATTGGCTGCCTGGGCAAAGTTTACCCAAAGCTCTTGCATTGCGCAGCTGCCCTGAGACCCCTTGCCTCCCCCCCCCCCCGGAGTCCATCTTCCTGGAGCATAGCAGAGAGCAGCCTTTCGCCATCCTCTCTTCAGTGGGGGGTTTTGGGGGCCCTTCCCTTTGCCTTCCCTCTGCACGCTTGACCTCAACTCCGCCTGCTGCTGGGTGGG